ATTGTGTCTGGTGGGCCTGCACAGCAGGCCATACGCCACCACCCCCGCCGTCCCTGACAAGAAACACTTGACAATGATCGTGGGGTGGCCGCGCGCTATCCACATCTAGCCGCGAGGTGCATTTTGTATTGTGTGTTTGTCAGGGATGGCAGCCCTGCGCGCAGCAGGCACTATGCTGACACCCCCGCCGTTCCTGTCGAGAAACAAAACAAAGTGCCCGCGGGCCTCACGAACATGACTCCAGACTTTGCCCCAAAGTGTATTGTGTATTGTTTTTTGACAGGGCTGGTGGGGGGGGGGGGGCGCATCGGGTTGGTTGCACATGCTCCGAATTTGGAGGCCGAGTGCGTTATGTATTGTTTTTCGACAGGGATTGTGGGGGGGGGACCCTCATGGTGTGCGCATGGTTCTGGGTTGGCTGCCGGCCGGGTGGGGGAGGGGGTGTTTATTAATAGGGAACAGTGATAAACCCCTCTCTGAAAGGAGAAGCAGAGGTCGTGGAAGAGGAAAGAATGACATCGTTAGACCACCTGTCGCCCAGAGGGCTGGTGGGATTCGCACTCGCGCGCTTCATTACATAGCCCAGTATGATGATGGACGCTCCGATGTTTTCCCACGGGAGAGACCATGCATGAGTACAGAGCGGATGGCCAATATTCTTTCAGGAGAATTGCAGGGCCTATTGTTGCGTTCGGATGATGCCCTTGAGTGAAACGGTCCCAGGAGTGCTTCGCTCCGTTGGACGGGAAGTGTGTGAGGCAGTCTTTGCCTAGCCTCCTGAGCGCCCCCGTTTCTGAATACGCGCCACAGATACTGCGCATGAAAGCGACTCCCCACGAATAGTTGGAGATGTGCAGGGTGTGTTTGCGGGGATTGAGCACGAGATCGCTGAAGGCGGCACTGTAGCCGCGGCATGGGGGTGCTGTTGCCGACGGCTTCTGCTGTCCTCACACAAACTGAAGGCAACGCTGGCATGCCCAACCTGAGCGTTCCATGCCCATTCGTGACCTCTCACCGGGACATCTGTAGTTGTTGTCACTTCCGCTGGCGGCTGCGGTGGGGGGTGGGGGCGGGTGCCGGAGGTCAATGTAGAATTTGTCTTTCGGCAGCGATGCTTGTGATGAATCATGGCTGGCGCAAATCACTATCAACAGTGGACCTCATCGCTCGTGTTGGCACCAACCCGGGACACAAAAATAGGGTTTGCACCAGAGCCCTCCGCAAATGCACCTCGCATCCACTTCGTATCTCGCATGGTGCAGCCGATGCGCTGTCCACGAGGACTGGCATAGGACATACCACAGTTTGCCACATCCATGTTGAGATAAGCTGCGCTCAGCGGTGAGACGCCGCGCAATGTTGAAATCTCTATTCGTGCCAGTCGGCAGGTCCATCTTCTGAGCTATGTTGGACGCGTCGTGCTGCGCCCGCTGCTTTTGCAGCTTGAGCCCTGGGAGCTTGGGAGACAGAGCCGACGGGGGCCAGTGCCCCCCTAGTGGGTCTTGAGAGGTGAAAGGCCCATGAACGCTTTTCCCCATGCAGCCGAGGGAGAGGATTGCGGCGCCACAAGGCCCTCTTACTTGCGACCAAGACTCGGGGGGCTTGGATGACATGGGCTGGGCAAGCCAAAGAAGCCAGGATAATGGACGAGGGTTGGCCCGGGAGTGATTTGCCTTCGCTTTCCCAGCAGTCTTGGACCATAGGAGAGCGGGCGCTAGAGCCTGCCGCCAGGTGGGATCGGCGTGCAGGGACACCAGGCGAGAGAGGGAGGAGGAGGAGCAGGAGGAGGAGGAGGAGGAGAGTAGGCGAGGAGGAGAGCAGAGGCGGAGGGAGGAGAGGGAGGTGGAGGAGGAGGAGGAGGAGGAGGAGGAGCAGGAGCAGGAGGAGGAGGAGGAGGAGGAGAGGAGAGAGAGGAGAGAGGATGAGAGAGGAGGAGAGGAGGAGGAAGGAGAGGAGGAGAGGAGGAGGAGGAGGGGGAGGGGGAGGAGGGGGAGCGGGGAGAGGGGGAGGGCAAGCTAGGTGCGCTCGCGTCATATCTGACGTCCTACCCCTCCCTCCCATCCTTACCATGGCGCTGATTTTCTCTATCCGCGGACGCGTGTCGTAGCGGACCTGTGGCTCCGCGCGCGCGTGCGTAGTGGGTGGTGGTGCGCGTGCGTGCGTGCGTGTGTGCGTGGTTGTGGTGGTGGTGGTGGTGGTGGTGTGGTGTGTGTGTGTGTGTGCGTGTGTGCGCGTGTGCTGTGGTGTGACGTGGTGTGGCGTCTTGGTGGTTTGGTGGTGGGCCAGGTGCGTGCGTGCGTGATGGCGGTGGTGGTGGTGGCGGTGGTGGTGTGTGTGTGCGTGTTCGTGTCGTGTGCGTGTGCGTGCGGTGCGTGTGCGTGTGCGTGTGCGTGTGCGTGTGCGTGTGCGTGTGCGTGTGCGTGTGCGTGTGCGTGTGCGTGTGCGTGTGCGTGTGCGTGTGCGTGTGCGCGTGCGTGTGCGAGTGCGCGTGCGCGTGCGCGTGCGCGTGCGCGTGCGCGTGCGCGTGCGCGTGCGCGTGCGCGTGCGCGTGCGCGTGCGTGTGCGTGCGCGTGCGCGTGCGTGTGCGCGTGCGTGTGCGTGTGCGTGCGTGCGTGCGCGTGCGTGCGTGCGTGCGTGCGTGCGTGTGTGTGTGTGCGTGTGTGTCTGTGTGCGCGCGCGTGTGATGTGGTGTGACGCGGTGTAGCGTGGTGGTGGTGGGTGGGGTAGTGGGGTGGTGGTGGCGGTGCGCGTGCGTGCGTGCGTGCGTGCGTGCGTTGGTGGGTGGAAGTGGCGGTGGGCGGGGCGGGGCGCGGTGCGGTGGTGGCGGGCGGATGGGCGCGCGAGAAAGAGGCCCGCGCTGGGGCGAGAACGCCATCCTGAACGACGGAGGCAAAACACCGATCCGAAAATGAGACCCACGCTGCAGCGGGAACACGATTCGGAACGAGCGGGGCCCGAAAATGAGGCCGGCGCCTCAGCGAGAGCAGCATTTTGGAACAAAAATGCAGGCGAACACCCAACTCCAGGGAAACATGTGTGCAACACAAACAGTACGCGGGGGGGGGGTCGGCTACTCCCATTCCGTCATCAGGGGAAGAGGGAGAGTAGTATTCATATTGAGTAATTGTAGAGGGGGGAGAGGGGAGAGGGGAGAGGGAGGGGGGCGGAAAAGGGTGGGCTGGGGGAGAAGAACATATGGAGAAACAAAACCGGGGGGAGGAAAGGTGGGACGTGGATGATACAGTCAGCCTTGATTCGTTGGGCGACCTTGCCAAGTCAAGAGTAGCCTTGTGTCCTGTCTTTAGAGGCCCGTGCCTTTTTCATTCCCAGGGCAATGTCGCCCTCGGAAGGGTTTTGTGTCCTCTCGCGTGTCCTCTCCAATCAAGCCCGACTGCAAGAGGGAACTCTGGAGAAGGATGATGGTTGCGAGTGAAGGCGGCCTGAAAAAGGCACACGATCAGGAGGAGAACCACGCGGAACACGGGGAGGAGTAGGAGGGGGATATGGAGAGTAGGAGGGAGTTCGGTAATGAGCAAATGGAAAGGGGACTCGTGATATGAAGGAATTTGGGAAGGATGAGGATGAGGAAATAGAGGAGTCTCGCAGTCGCGATACATCTGTTTATCTCTTTCATCCTTCCCCACCCCTTTTTCCATCTCCGCCCCCATCCTCCCTTCATTTCTTCATCCACTGATTAAATAGCTGCTCTTCGTCGCACCACCAGACGTGTAAGCCAGACAGACTCTTCAGGCATTTCCCCTGGAAGATCCCTCTCACCATGTCCAGCTGCCTTGCGGTAACTTCTGTCACCGCCGTGATATGTATGAGTAGTGGGGAAGTCGTTTGGCAAAGAGGAGATGGAAAAGAGAGATCGGGGGATGGGCCAGGGATTTTTGTTGAACATATCGTCGGGGGCTGTTTGCCATCCTTCGTGGGCCATGCTTGGTTTCTGGCAGTTTGCTTGGCCGTGCTGAGGGGAATCCGCCGCCAGTCCACCATTGCCAGCACTGGTTCTGATTCTCTGGGGTAGAAAACCGTCCAGGCAAGCCTAACTGGTGTGAATCACTCGCGTCGGCTTCTGGAGAGGGCAGTTTTGACGGGCGCTGCGTTGCAGCACTAGTGATGTGCGTTGGATTTGCTCAGGCATTCCCCCGTATCCCCCTCGTCCTCTTTTCTCTTCCTACCCGTTCCGTTCTTCGTCATGTAGCAGCATGTAAGGGTCTACATGTATCGGCCAGAGGTCGTCACATCCGCCTGTGGCAGAAGGCAAGAGGTTCCTTCCGCCTATCCCTGCCCTCATGGCTCGAGGAGCTCTACATGAAGGAGGTGCAGCTGAAGGACCTGCACATGGAGTGCGACTGGCTCCAGGCCAACTTCGAGGCCATCCTTGGGGGGATCCGAGAGCGACAGCCGGCGACGACGGGGCCCTCGACGACGAAGAGGCCGTCGACGACGACGGCGCCGACGCCGGCGGCGACGACGACGAGCAGCTGCCGCGGCCGCCTGCCAACTGTCTGTCGGCTGCCAGGGGGCCTTTGCTTCCCCTCCTGGCCCCACTAGGGGGCCACGTGCGAGCCCTACACGCCGGCCGTTGAAAGTAGGTAGTTTTGGATCCCCAGGTCCCAATCTATTTCAAGCGCCTCCCTACTTCAAGAATCGGCATGATTTTGCTGTGATCTGTTATTCTCTGGGAGGGCCTGGACCCAATCTGCAGTATCCGCCTTCCTACTGCATGTTTCTACCTACTTCTTCCGACCGACGTGTACCCCTGCCCCCCACGATGTCTGAGGGGGAGGGCGGGGTTCACTGCGTTCGGGAGCTCCCGAGCGAGGCGAGCCCCACCCTCCCGCTCAGAAATCGTGGGGGGCAGGCCAGGCGATCGCAAGCATGGATTAAGGGGGCGTGGATTGGCGACGGGTCCCCGTTTCAACGGGGAAGCGCGGATTTCCACCGCCGAACGAGGAGGCACCGGCTCGAAGGTGTGTTGCAGTGGTGTTGACCAGTTGCCGTCGCACTGCTTGAATTTTGAGTGGCCGCGCTCCAGCTCCATGCCCGTGCCGTGGAGCTTGGCCTTGACGCTGCCGCTATTGCCCGTCATCGTGATGCCTTCCTCGGGGAAGGATGTGCAGGCGTCCAGGCAGCAGCCGTTGGTGACGGCAGTGGTCATCAGCATCAGGAGCTTGCCAAATTGGCCTTGGCCCTCTGTCTAGACGCTGCCGATGGTGTCCAGGGATCACCGATGGCTACGGCCACGTCTGACGACCTGCCAGGGCGAGCTGAGGGTCGACGCGCCCGCGCCCGACACACACACACACACCAGCGTGAGACTCTTGTCGACCTGCCGGCGCCCCCCGCCACTTCACGAATTTTGCCGCCGCCGCCGCTGCAAGGACGGCGCCAGACTATGGCGCCCAGCGGCACAGAATGGGCGCGCTGGGACCGTCCGCGACCACCTGCCTCCCGAGCCTGCGGCTGTGGCAAGCTCACCCCCTCGATGGGACGGGTTGAATTTGAGCCAGAATTTCCACGGAAGAGGAAGGGGAGGAAGAGGAAGAGGGGGAGGAGGACGACGATGAGGAGGAAGAGGACGGGGACAAGGATGAGGGCGAGGACGAGAAGGAGGGACAGGAGGAGGAGAAGGAGGAGGAGGAAGAGGAGGAAGAGGAGGAGGAGGAGGAAGAGGTGGAGGAGGAGGAGGAGGAGGAGGGAGGAGGAGGAGGAGGAGGTAAGGGGGGAAGACGGCGGGCGGGCGGGCGGGCGGAGGAGGAGGAAGGAAGACTAGGAGGAGGAGGAGGAGGAGGAGGAGGAGGCGGAGGAGGAGGAGAAACAGGAGGAGGAGCAGGAGGAGGAGGAGGGAGAGGTTCGTCTTGCTCGTCGTTGCCCCCTCGCCGGGCCCCCCGCTCCTTCCCGAGGGCGGGGGCGGAGGAAGGGAGGAGGATGGTGGGGAAGCCCCCCCGTCTTCGTTCCTCGCCCGTTCCGCCCCGTGGAGGCTCGTGGGCGGGAGCTGTGTCCGCATCCACGGCTTCGCTGTCCGCCTCCCTCGGCCGCGACCCCATGTTTCTGATATGGATGCCGGGCCGCGCCGCACGGATGCACTGCGCGGAGCGTGTCCATGGGATCCCGCACCCGCTCGCTGAAGTCCGCGAACCCGCGTGGAAGGTTGCGCAGCATTGTCCGCGCATGTCGCGTTCGTCTCTCCTGCTCCCCCTGCCCCTGCACAGGCTTTGGAGAACTCCACCTTTCAGGGTGTCCGCTCTGGGAGGGACGATGGGACGATCCCTTCCCCTGCCGCGCGGGGCCTCCATCCACAGGGGCGGCGGGCCATTTCGGGTTCCGCCGGAGGGGCTGTGGTCTCCGGGCCGCTCCTCGGCTCTGGGTCGGGAGGCCCGTTCGCGGCCGAGGCTCGCCGCGGCCGGAACAGCCCCGTCGCCCTTTTCTGGGCCTCCTCGATGTGGTCCGCGTGGATGGGGTCGGAGGATCGGGCCGCATCGTTGATGCATCGGCGATGCGGCCTGGTGCGGAGCCCGATTTTCTCCACGCTGGCGTCGCCGATGCGTCGCCGCTCGCCTTCGGCTAACAGTGCTGTCCGGCCACCCCGAGCACAGCAGTTCCCTGCGTGGGATATCCACGCGTGCGGCTGGACATGTTTTCCAGGGCCCGGAGCTCGTGACACGGTGGGAAAGCATCGAGGGAACGCAAGCATGGAACGGGGCGCGTGGACCCGATCCCAGGAAGGAGTGGATGCGCACCGTCGCCAAGGCTGGCTGCACTGGCTTCCCCCGCGCCCACGTGCCAGGCCCACAGGCTCGTCGCCCGTGCCAGCATGTGCCTCGAAGTGGGACGAGGACGAGGGAAGTGTTTCCACTTGCGCGTCCGGGAGAGGAGGACGAGGACGAGGAGGAAGAGGAGGGGGAGGAGGAGGAGGAGGAGGAGGAGGAGGAGGAGGAGGAGGAGGAGGACGAGGAGGAGGAGGGGGAGGAGGAGGAGGTGGAGGAGGACGAGGAGGAGGGGGAGGGGGAGGAGGAGGAGGAGGAGGACGGCGTCGGTTCGTGCCGTGCGGCGTGTCGTGTCTTTCCCGTGTCGTTGTGTCGGGTCGTAATCGTGGCGCGTCCTGTCGTGTTGTCGCCCCTGCCCCCGGTCGGTCGGCGCGTTCGCTTCTGTTCGGGTTGGCTGTCTCCTCGCCCTCTCTTTCCCGTGCTTCAGGAGGAAAAAAAACACACAGACACAATTAATCGTCGATTCCTCAGAAAATATAGGAAAATATGGGAAGTGGGGGGGAAGACAAGAATCCAGAAAATATAAAAAATGGGGAATCCTTTTATTTGTGTGTATTTATTTGTGTGTCCCAGGGCCCCTTCAGTGTTGTTGTTTGGTTGTTCCTTGTTTGCTACCTTTTTCTTTCGCCTTCTTCTTCTTCCCCGCCGGCTGGCTCATCCCTCCGCGTCCTTGCTCCGTCTCGGTTTCGTCCCGCTCTTGGCTTCGCCCTTTCCCTTACTCCCGCCTTGGGTTGGGCCATGCATCCCCGCGAGCGCTCTTGAGCGCCTCTCTCCTGCGCCTGCGCCTATTTGCACGCCCCTTCGGCACGCTTTCGGCGTGGAGGAGGAGGAGGAGGAGGAGGAAAAGGAGGAGGAGGGGGAAGGGGGAGAAGGACAAGGAAATGGAAAAGGATGAGGAGTAGGAGGAGGACGAGGACGAGGACGAGGGGGAGGAGGACGAGGACGAGGACGAGGGGGAGGAGGAGGAGGAGGAGGAGGAGGAGGAGGAGGAGGAGGAGGAAGAGGAGACCTGGCTGACGTGGGGCAGGCGGGAGGAAGCGGTGCACGTCGTCGTGGCCTGCACGCCACAACAAGCCCACAACAGGCCGCTCGTCGAGGCCCTCGACGAGCTCGCCGTCGGCGTCCGCGTCGCCGGCCCTGGCGCAGCTCGTCGAGGCCCTCGGCGAGGGCCTCGGCGAGCTCGCCGTCGGCGGCCGCGTCGCCGGCCCTGGCGCTGCGGCCCCCCCCCCCCGGGCGGCGCGGCAGGTGCGGAAGGCGGCCCGCGCCGGGGAGGTGGAGAGCCTCCAGTCCGCGAAGGCTCGGCCGCCTGCACCTGCTGGCGGTAAGTCGGGCCTGTCCCTCCACAGGAGGAGCATTCACAGATAGTCAAGACATAGTCTTGGGACGATGTTTTGACTATTTGGGGTCCGTGTTTTGAGTCTGTTTTGAATGCTTTCTGTAGTTTTCGTCCAACATCCTTTGTGGGGGGGCAGGCCCGAGCTAATGCTGGCGGGGACTCTCGCGGGAGTGGCCTTAGATGCGCGGTTTCCGGGCGGGTGGGGTGGATCAGGCAGCGGCGAAGCGTCCTGGCTCGCCTGATTTATGATGTTCCAATCTACTTTAGTCTTGACTTGGCATCGCTCGGACGTGTGCATTTTTCCTTCGGTGAGGACCATCGAGGAGCATCCTTGATCATGTGGCGAAACCCCACGCACGAAACTGAAAAAAACACAGGGAATGGACGTCCGAGCGATGGCGAGTTGATCACCTTTCGAGCCCCCCAAAAGTACCGAAAGTCGAGGGTTTTCGCGTGTCGGACCCCGAAAGACACTCGCCCGACACTGTTTCGACACTGTTTCGACACTCATTCGACACTTTTCGGGGTGCTCGATTTTTTTTCTGGGATGTGGTCCGTAAGTTCGATGGGAGCAACATGAGCTTAATTATAGGCCCACCGACGAATTTTCTAAGAACCTTTCCGTGGTCTGCACGAGATGTTCTCAGAACACATTTCTGGTTGGGACTGTCTTGTCTTGTTTTAGCACATCGGGGCTCTGCTCTGAGAACATCGCTTTGCCCTTAGAGCATATGGGGTTCTAAGAACATTTCGTAGTAGGCCTATAGGAATGCCGGGACGGTCGGTCCCTGCTCAAGTGGGGTGGAGTGGGGGGGGGGGGCGATCTCCTCCTCCTGCCTTTCTCCTCATAGATAGTTCCTCCCTGCCGCACCGCACCCCGAGGTCATGTCGAAAGGGCGGGCCTGGCGCTTCGCCTGGGGCCTCCTCACCACTTGTGATCCTGAAGCTTGGATTTCACAAGAGCTTCACGGATGTAGGACGGCCCGTTTTCAAAATGCGATTCTCGCTTTAGCGCCCCGTGCTCTCGTCTTACACATTTGTCCTACACGTTTACAAGAGTTTCACGGATGGATGGCGGTCCGTCTTCAAAGTGTGATTCTCGCTTTAGCTCCGTGCCCTTTGTTCCCGAACAAGTTGCAAGAACTTCACGGATGGAGGGCGGTTCATTTTCAAAATGTGGTTCTCGTTTTAGCGCCGCGCACATGCGTCTTAGGAGTCCACAGCAGATTCAAGGATTTTCATTGTTAACGTGCCTAGATTTGTGTGTTGGCTGAGTGTCGCAATATCAGGGCGCAACAGTCACGTTGATCCGCAGTGTTTGCGTTGTGGCACGGTTCAGGATCGCTAAGGCGCAGCAGCAACAAAGATTTGCGTCGCTGATGTCCCAGCATTGGCGTTCTGGCACACGTTCTGAAGTTCAAACGGTTGTCCAACGAGGCACTTCCTTCAATGAAAATGAATCCGTGCAGGGGCATATGAAAGGGGAAATTTGGGGTGAGGGTGGATTCCAATATCGCTAATGGGTCTGAGCTTACACTGGTCCTTCTCCTCCTCCCCTCTCCTCCTCTTCCTCCTCTTCTTCCTCCTCCGCCTTCTTCTCCGTCTCCTCCTCCTCATCCTCCCCCGTTCCTCTTCCCCGTCTCCCTCCTCTTCTTTCTACTACTACTCCCCTGGGCCCTCGTTCTCCTCTTCCTCTTCCTCTTCATCCTCCTCCTCATCCTCCTTCTCCTCTCTGCCCTCCTCATCCTCCTCTTCTTCCTCCTCGTCCTCGGTTTCCGCCTCCCTCTCCTTCTTCTCCTCTTCCTCTTCCTTCCCTCTTCCTTCTTCTCCTCTTCGTCCTCCTCCTGTGAATTGCTCGTCGCTCTCGAAGTCGACAAACTCCGTATCGAAATCCGATCTCGTATCACTGCCAGATCGTTCTCGCACTCGTACTCGCTATCGTTCCGCGCGCGAGGGGAGTGATGGTATCCTTTTTGGTCAGTCGAGAGGCTTCTCGAGCTCAAACGGCAATAGTCATGCGCACAACTGTACATACAATCGTGCTTGCTACATGCTATCTTACACAGCCGACACTGGCCCGC